TAAATATTTACGAATTATACTTACATGATTGATAAATGAGTTTTCATAACATTCGTGTTCCATTAGTATACTTATTTAATTTTCTAATCAAATCAATAATTAAACATTAAACAAACTTAATATATTATTTAACTAATTTTCACAAAATGCTTTATTTTACTAACTTGATGCGTATTAATGCTGGATTAAATATGAATATTTTAGTGTATATCTGTATTTATAGCCAATGAATAATCATTTTACTTCGCAAAAACATTATAATATGATATAATAGGCCCGTTTCACATACCTACTCGTACTATTAAGTGTGTGCGTTGTAATTTTTATGTTTCACTTATTGTTGATATATTTTACGGAGCAACTCACTTGTGCCTTTAATATCCTTTTTTTAGTTCATTTGTTTCCGAAATGTTTTTAATAAAAACCGTGTAACGTTGCCAATCTGTATTACTTTATGATTGGACCCTCATGTAATATTCCTCAACTTAACTATTTTTAGATTTTACTTTACATCCTCGTCGCTATTACCGAATATCGGTCCAATTTATCATAATATCAGTTCATGAAAATTCTCACTTCTCTCTGTGAATCTTAAGACAGGTACACACGAGTGCGCTGAACCTGTAATGAAACATCACAGTCGTTGAGCCACTATTATTGTAAGCAGCTTATCGCAAACATTTTCATACGTAGTTATTTTAATATTATATAAGTAACAGAGACTGAAGAAGCTTAGTATCATATACGCCGAACAAAATCGTACGTATAGATACAAAAAATATAATTTTTATAAGAGTATCAATTAAAATAACGCATATGTTTCCGTAGTTGTCGTGCCACACGACTACCACGGAAGAACCTTCAATTCCCCCCTAAAATACTAAACAAGGATACTAAGGCAAGGATACCTAGGGCAAGGTAGGCTGACCACAAATTGTTGGAAAAAAATCGAAGGAGAAGAAGAAGAAGAAGAAGACTAGAAGAGTCGTATTGTTCTTTGCATATAAGTTTATGTATTATTTGAATTATTTCGTTAAAGAGGTACATGGATAAATTCTATGTTAATATAAATAAAAATCATCATATATTTATGTTGAGAATTTGTTTATATAATATTAAGTTTTCGTAAAATTACTTAATTATTAGACAGCGTTGTACTCACTCCAGTTTACTCGATGGGTACGGAATTCAACAGATAGCGTTAGCATATTCATATAAAATCAAGTTTTCACACTATGGATTTATTCATAGTTTTAAATACACAATACGATTAAATGATTTGAATGGCATTTTGTTAAGAAGTACAATAATTATCTTTATAATAAATATGTAGTTGTTCTACGGTATAACTACAAAAAATAATACAATTTCATTAAGTAATAAATACTCCTAGACCTAGATTAAGGCGTAAACAGAATGTAAGATGTAGCCTACATATTATGTAGTACATAACCATGGGTTAAGAGGTACCGCATTCTGTCCTGATGTTATTTTTATTAAAATGTCCGAAACCTGAAATAGTAAATTAAAGCTGGTGTCAGAAAAAGTGTCGAAAAAGCGTCGTTACATCAGTTGACACTAATTTAAATAATTGTGATTTGTAATAAAAATTTTATAAACTAGTGTGAGTAGTGCGTTTTATGTATTTTTTGGTGTTTGAAGTTTATATAAAAATAAATTAATAATTATATTATTTTAGCTACTGTTGTAACAATTACACCATTTTCGTACATACAATACCATCTATAATTTTGGTGTTTCAACATTTACTTGGCTGATTGTTAAAAAATGGATTGCTTTATTTTGTACGCTGTATCTGTTATTGAAATCTGATTAGTGGCTTATTTAGAGGGAGAGCAAAGGGAGTGAATGCACTCGATGGCAATATTTTAACAATTTTAGGGGTGGTAGTTTTATTTATTTATTTTTTTTTATTATTATTACAAAATGTAAAACATTGATTATCGTGTATTGTATAACATATTTTGATCATCAATAATTTTCTGATAACGGATTATAGTATCAATCTTTGATCTTATACTATGGATAGAGCCAAAATGTAGTTTTTTGTTGTCGTCATAAGCGACGAGTCTCTTGATTATGTGTTTAAAATGCAGCGTTTTGATTCTTCGTATAATTATGAGAAAAGAAACGACGATCAATCAAAATCCAATACACTGATTAGTCATTTGATAAATATGCGAGAAGCAACTTTGCGCTTGTGCACATGGCGCATCTAATTGAGAGATCCGTCGTTTATATTGGCAGAAACTTTATACCATTTATTGAATGGGAATAGCTCCACCCATAGTATCCAAAGTATCCAAGGTATCAAATAATTTTGAGTTAAATGTGATAAAAATACTACTGATAACATATAAAACGAATTATTACTATACGAGTATATTTTTGTATAATCTGTGGTGAAAGGTGTAACGTGTATTCATTTTTTGTGGTTTATTTATAGTAGCTATCTACTCGCGTAGATAAGAAATTATAAGTAAACCGTTTAATAAAATTTACTCATGTCATTATTAGGTATGATTCGGTATCATTTAATTGAACAAAAAACTCTGAAATTGTATACTGTTAAACCCTACGATATACATTTTAATATGTTATTCAAAACAAGCAAGGTGCATATTTTTCATTAATTGAGTATGGAAAAGGATGGTCTGAGTAATACAAATAGTACAATAAAGTAGTTATAAAAGAGTACAAAGAGTAGCAACAAGTTGGGGGGGGGGGGTGGTAATAAAATAATTTCACCCCGGGGTCCATATATTCTAAATGCACCTCTGAGTCTGCGTACTCCTATATGCTATTAACACATAAGTGTGTGCAGACTCAAAATTGCAATCTTGCTATAAAAAAGTAGCAATTAGTGGTCTTATATTTAAATTTTTTTAAGCTCATTATGTGGTATTTGTTTTGTCTGAAAATATTTATAAGAAAACCACATTTAAAACAAAAATAATCAAATCATTGTATACGATAATCATAGTATATTATAATAAAACAATATACTAATATAAACGATCCGTACAACAATATTTTTATAAAAAAAAGTTTATTTTTTATTTTTTTAGTATCAGTTAGAATGGTTATGACATGCATTTATTTCCTTTTAAAATGTACACAAAATCATTCATTTTTTGAAATAAATATAAAAACCATGTAATTACAAAAAGGAAAATTATTTTTCCTATTACTGATGGACACATTTTATTTTATATTCTTTGAGAACTTGCAATTAAAGTTAACCATTTTTTCCGTGTATTTATTTTAAAAAAAAACTATATAAAATTCCTTTTTAAGATCAGTGTCTGTCGTAAATATTAATACACTGCAATTGGTTTGACTCTATAATCTCAATTAAGTATGACTTATTATGGTCAATAGTATGATATTTATCTTACTTTTAGCATAATGATCACCAGAAACCAAAATCATGAAACACGTTAAAACTATTAATCACCAATTGAAATTATGAAATATCAAATGACTTAATAATGTACATAATAATAATAGTAATAATAATAATCACTATGATCCATTCGCTACGTTGTTCTAGGAAAACATATCTTTCTTTCTCTATACTCTTTCCTCCTTTATCATCCCCTCTCTCCTCACATTATAGTTTTCATACATGAAATAGTTTAATCACATTTTTGAAATAAAAGTAATTAAAAATGAAATTATTCAGCTTCAGATTTATTATCCTTTGTATATTATAATCGTACCAGATTTTATTGTATAGGATACTATCATAATTAACATGATCTTCTAATTCCACTTGCATAATGACATCTTGGTAGACTTATAGTTTGTAGACGTATATATTTACTTTGAATCTTCAGAATCTTAAACGAACCATCTCGGTATTTAAAGAAATGGAAATTACACTTCTTACACTTATTATTTACCTACATGTTATAGGAGAAAAAAGATATTTCCTGTTAGGCATTGATGTATTTACATTAATTTTTCGGTGGTCGAATAAGACATTTTTTCTTATTTAAATTCGATGAAACACAAATTCAACAATTAAGTCACACGATTTGTAATGGATTTAGAATATTAGTTGTTAATACCCATTTTAGTATTTGAAAATTATATTTATTTCTTACATTGCACTTAATATTATACCATAAAATATTGGGATAGGTATAAAAAATTGCAAAATGTTTAACTTCTTCTTGATTTACATTTATGTAAGTAAATATATTATTCGTATCTTTATGAGGTCAAATTTATTGATTCCTGAGTCCAAGTTCTTTGTGCGAGAGGTTATGTTCTAGAAAGTAGATGATAAGTGTTCGTTATTAACCATTGTAAATATCTGTTGTTTGCTTATTTGTAGTTATTTGTACATCGATGAGCTCCTTTTGGTTAATAAAAGAAATGCGTCCACGAATCTTTCATGTTGTACTAAACAATGATTCATATTAATCTTGTTATTGCATAACAACCAGGTGCAAACGAAGAGAAAGAGGGAATTCGAGGTTCACCCCTCCGAAATATCAGAAAAAATTTTGTAAAAAAATGACCTGACCCACAAATGTAAAAGTAATTTTAAAGTTTCCCATGAAACTTACAAATATAATATATAAATATATACACATATTTCATAATTAGTAATAGAACATGTTACTTGTATTAATAACATTTTACATTTTATATATTTTCAACTCCCCTACCGAAATTTTCCTGCGTTCGGCCCTGATAACAACGAATACCATGCAAATGTGAGCCATTTCAATTCAGATATCACTCGGTGTTGTAGACAATAACATTAGGTACTTGAAATAATACACACTACATTTAAGCTATTTATCAAATTTACTGAACAACATAGTAAGTACAAGAAAAAAAGTTTTGAGACGTATTCTTATTAGCGTATATAAATAATATATTATACGTTATATATATATATATATATATATATATATATATATATATATATATATATATATATTATTTTAGTACATCATTATACATTTAGTTACAACTTATGTCTAATAGGAATAAATATATTTCGTGTAGAAATGCCAATGTACAATACGCATTATCGTTTAACGTTACTCGAGAAAGTTTCAACTTACAATACGATTACATTAACTATTGGATATAATTAGCAAATATAGTACATTGTTGAATCGATTATTGTTTAATATCTGTCAAGTTCATTGCTTTAGATGAAGCGTGGGTAATATTACAGTTGTAACGTTCTGTACACCATTTTGCCCAATTATCCGGGGTCTCCATCTGAGTGTAGATTTCATTGTTCACTTCATGGAACGCTTTGAAATATGATTGCAGTTTTTTGCTAGGGACGAACTTCGATACCTGATGTAACACCCTGAAACGAAAAACGAGTGGCTTTTAAACGGAAAAAGGTAATATTTTATCACGAGAAAAATAGATTGTAGTAACTCAAATATTTGTATAATGTAAGGTAAAACATGAAGCTATACAGGAACGGAGTATCGTCAAATGGGAAAACAGCTGTAGTAGCTCAAACGCACGGGGTCGGATTATTATATACTAGAGAATAATCCAATAGTAGTTCACTTGTGGTAAGATTTAAATAATATTCGCATATGATATAATCGAATAATACAATATATTGGGTGTTCCATGTTCCATGAAGACATACTGATGCATTAGATATTTCCTGAGATAATGAAGATAACGAAATTCTGTTTTTATTTTTTATTTTAACTCTCAGGCATAATTATGACAGGTATATTCTTATTTTAATTACTCTTTTATGTTTAAGTAAAAAATATAAGAATAATTTTTTATTTTATCTGTCGAAAAACCTGAGAATAGCCATTTTAAAAAGTGTATTCTTATAATATAATAAACTCCATCTTCTAATTTTTCGAAAATAACAAAATACGTAATTGTTTTCAATGTTCTGAAATAACATACAATTTTAATTAAAATATTAATATTTGTATTCTTTATTGTCGAGCGTGGTTTGTTTAAAAAAAAAAAAAAAAAGGAGTATGATGGTTTCCACTACGTTAGGACATACCACAGTGGGTATTTCTTCCTCGGATGACCTGTAAATCGTTCGCATAATACTCGAACCGGGTGAAAAACAAATCGATTCTTACCGGTTAATCCAGACGGGTAGGATTTCAATCTTCTCGGCCACGGCCATTCGACAAGCTATCCGTTCTACGCACTTCTGCGAGTCCATTAGTTTCCGGAGCACGGTCATTGCAGGATTGAACAGTTCCAGCGTATCTAGCCGACGCCTGTTCAGCGCGTTCAGCTCACCACCACCGGGTTTCGATGGAGCCGGGCTGCCACCTATTTTCGCGGACGCAACAGTCGGCAACACGGCGGACCCACCGGGGGCTGAGTATGCGGTGGCCGCGGTGGCCTCGACGGGTGCGTACACCGGCTCCGTCAGGTATTCGAGTATGCGGCCAGGTATGGACAGCAGCCCGCCGACGAGCATCGGGGCGGAGAAGAACCCGGCGATGAGTGGCAACAGCGCGAGTATGATCAGTGGTATTATGATCAACTTGAACAGCTTCGTCAGTTTGGCGATCAGCAGGAACTTGAAGAACATTGCGATCAGAAACAATTTGAGCTTGAACAGCAACAAGAACAGTAATTTGAGGAAACTGAACACCTTGAGCTTGACCAAGCCGATCTTGAACAGCGCCAGAATGCCGATCTTATGCCAATCGATTTTGTCCGTGAACATCTGTATCTGCTGCAGTGGGCTATGTACATTGTGCTGTTCCACCTGGCCGTTGTGCTGATAGTGACCGCCGTTATATCCGACGAGCGGCGGCGGTCCGTAGTGCATGTGCGCTATCGGCGCCTGCTTGTTGTAGCCCGTGCCCACGGGGTACGGATACGGGACCGACGACCCGTACGGTGGACGGCCCATCGGGTACACGACTGCGTTTCCATTCGGGTGAGGTGACCCCGTCCCGTGAATCGATATCGGTTGGTTCACCGGGTTCCAACCACTTCCGTCGTTTGGGTTTTCGGCCACGGTGTAAGTCACGTCGTAAGAGTTGTGGTAGCTGGTCGACCCGTCCTCCTGGGCCACCGACGTGTCCGTGTCAGTCGTTGTGTAATGATTGTAATCAATTTGTCTTGGATAAGGTCTGTCGACGGAAAAGCAGAAAAATTATTATATCAATTCGCGCGTTAAAACACGAAATCGTGTGTTCGGTTTATCGTAAAAGCTACAAATAACATAAACGCTGTATTACAAACCGTTTTTTGTCAGATGTACAGAGAGATAATAAAATTTAAATAACATAAAAACTACGTTTTCTCGACAAAATCAGAACGTCTTAATTTATGTGGATAGTGCATAAGTAGTAGGAGCGTTTTATTCTGTTTGAACAAGTTTTATTTGAATTATTGAATATTAAATTACATTCAGTTTCATATAAACGGTAAATTTATCTTTTTACTCTTTCAGAAAATTAATTTTGATACATTCTGAACATTAATATTTAGCAATCTAGAAATAAAATGATATCCTGTACAGTTTTGTGAACCTTTCAATTATTACAATTGAAAATTCATAATGTTACATGGACCCACTTTTTTTTATAATATTAGTAATACAGTATGTTTGGATAGCTAAATATAAAGTTAATTGATTATTGACCAAATATAATTATGAATATTTTACTGAGATCAGAAACCGGAATCGTTAGCCCATACAAAACAGAGATGAATTAAAATAATTAGTGACGGATAGTCAAAAGGTGCTTCATGTGCCAAAACATCCAGGTTGCCAGTCAACATAAAACATAAGCATATAAATTACCGTTAGCTGAATAATAATAGGCATGTAATGATATCTAATGAAATAATTAATTTTATTTAGTTAAATAATTAAAATTGCCTACAGAATACGAGTATTATGAACACAACCTTTCAAATTCGATTTAACATTATAAAAATGCAATAAACGCCGGAATACTTTTTTAAATAATTCGTTATAATTAAATATCATAAATACATAAATTTTAGAATTATTTGAAATTTTTTTTAAAATGTTTAATGAATATATTTAATCTTAAATAGTTTAAATATAAATTAATACAGAATTGATGTTCACCTTCCCATCATAGCTAAAATGTACGTATCCTAGTAATTTCTCAAACCAAACAACAGAACATTTGATATGGCATTGTAATAAATATTATTGCGCGGAAAGGAAACAGCGATACATTAAGGTTAAAAATAGCTAGATACGGATCGTAGAATAAAAGTGCCGACTGTCGGATCGCTTTAAATCGAACTATAGGAATGTTGTATTCGTTTCCATCGTGCTACACTGACTGATCTCATCTGATTTTTATACGTTATTAATCAAACATGTTTTACTTAGTTTTTGGATTCGAGGCTTTAAATATGACTCGGCCGCATTTACCCGACTTTTACCCGATAATCTACTTGATACATACCCATTGTCCACGTGGTACACCCCGGTGTCGACTATTATGTTCGCTCTGTTGTTTCTATCATCATCGTCGTCGTCGTCGTCGATAGTCTGTTGGTTGGCCGGATATGGGGTCGGTCGGATCAGCTTTCCCCGGACGACTATGGGCAGCGATCTGCTTCTGGACCCCGAAGGATGACCGTCGTCCACCGTGTCGGTGGCGTTCAGTGATCCGTTGGCGGTCAATACCATCGTATCGTCGTCACTGCCGGTCCGATTTTTCGTTTCCGGCGCCCGGTGGTCCGTCCGATTTTCCAATGGGTCGTGTATGACGGCAAAGGAAACGGAAGCGTTGTCCGGACTGGGAGTGGTGGCTTTCAGGACTACAGCGGAGGCGTGGTCGGAATTCGCCGGGTCCACCGGTTCGCCGCGATCGTGCGCTTCCTGTCTGCCGATGGGTGACGGTTGCGGTGGCGGTGGCGACGACGGCACCGAAGCCTTGGCCATAGCTTGACCGGACCGAATGCACAGGATAGCCACGACGGACGTGACCACGACGATCGCCAATATCTTCACGACGCTCATGGCGAGGCCGGCGCACCAGGATCGTCGTCTCCGCTCGCTGCAACGGTGTTCAGGCCTGCGAGGGGGCAGAAACAAACGCATGAGAACGATTGCCGCAAACTGTTGTCGAGGTGGTCGCGACGCGCACGTCTACTGGAGCACGTCGCTACGAACAATAACGCGCACGCAGTGACCGTCTTGTCATCGTTGTTATTACGATGGCGGCGTGCACGTGTTCATCTGCGTGCTTGGGAAAAGTGAAAACCCACGTGCGCTTTTGAACGGTGATCGTTCCGGTGGCGTCTGAGCGTCTATGGGGGGACGGGGGTATACCCCGACGGGTCTCGTCGATGATTATGGGTAATATTAACGTAAGACCGTTATCGCCAGCCGAACGTCGTAACGATATCGACATGGTCCGCGGCGCACGGAAACCGTCCGCCTATTGTTGTCGCGTACAAAACCATTCAATTATTAATCACCGGGGCTTGGAAGTTGTAGCACTAAAAATGTTAATTTTTAGCTCTTAAATGTGCACTTAAAAACTCTAAAATATGCACTATAAATAGCACGAAAATTAAAAAAATATGCAAAAATTATAAATTTATTAGAAAAAAATGTAAGTTTACAAATGTTTGGGCTCATAGACACAGTCTGGACTGGTTAAATAATAAGCTGTTAACAAAAATGTTAAATTCCTTAAATATATTTGTAAAAATGTAAGTTTAATGTAAGTTCACAAATTTTTGGGCTCATAGACATAGTCTGGACTGGTTAAATAATAAGCTGTTAACAAAACTGTTAAATTCCTTAAATATATTTGTAAAAATGTACCTACTTATTATTAAATTATTTACCTTGGAAATTATCCTGGATTATTAAAATATTTGATAATTTAATGCAATGATAAGGGAATAATAATGACGTCACTAACTATTAATACATAAAATTTTCGATAAAAACATAAAATAATATTTGATGATGTCTATTTATTTCCAATAATTCAAGTATTTTTAAAAATATAATCAAGTAGATACAACTATTATTAACAAAATATGATGATTTCCTATATTATGTGAAAATATACCTGAAAAAGCATTATAAACCCTAAATTAGCAAAATAGAAAAATTAAATTTTGTTTATGATATCTGAGTAGTGAGAAACATATTTGTATCTTAAGTCGCGTCCACACGGTGCGACATTTATTTCCCAATTAGTTATTAATTAATAATTTAAAAATGGAGAGAACCAACCTCGGGAGGTGCTCAACCAAGGATTTTGAAATTTCCGATTGAAATTTTTGTTTATAAATGGTCGCTATGAGTTTTAAAACTATAATAATAATAATAATTTATTGATCATAATAACTATATAGTTGTGTCTTTTTTAATGGTCAACGAAGTGCACAAGATCAGCAATTAATCTATATTTTTGAATCTTAAAAAATATGAAATTAAAAATTTTTGAAAAATCATTATTGATCTTTGTATTTTTAAAAACAGAGAATTTTCAGTATCGATATTTTGACAGAATAAAAATTGTGTCTTCTGAAGATTACTACAAAAATCAGTTTTACCTCGGTGAAAAAAGTTTGTTTTGTTACTAATTACTTAAAAAATAATTGAAATACTAACTTCAAAAATAAGTACTGATGCCGCGTGGCTTCGTCGAAAATTCGTCCACACACACACGGCATAGGCGAGCGGCACAAGCCGTGCGGCTTTCATTTGTTGTAGACCGCCTACTAGATCGATCGGAAATTATGCCACACGGCATCAAAAAAAAGTCGCGGAAAATGTATTTATGTATTCACACTCATGCCACGCGGCAAAAGCTGCTCCGTCTGGACACGACTTTACTTTGGATGTTCTAGCTTGAACCAAGATAAATATACATTTGTTAGAACTTTCGAACTCTGTTAATCACCGAACGATAATGTGATTCTAACTAACGGATTTTCGATGTGTTTCAACTCGCGTGCTTTCGTTTTCCGATTCACGTCGCGTAAAATAATAGTCTACACGCGTTTCCGATGCTCGGATTTCGAGTTCGGTCGACGTTGGGTACGCTCCGAAAGTAAATACGTGGCGGTTAACGTGTTCCGCGAAACAACTTTTCTATTAAAAAAATACCAAATCGGACGAGTGTTTTGTATATTTACGAGTAGATTTACAGGTAAATGTATTTCAAAGTCGCTGATCTTAGTTTTGTCCGTTAACATAAAAAAAATTTAGTGGTGAACAAGAAATCTATGCATATATGCATGTATAAGTATACTATAAGTATACTTATATAGCCATTAGGCGTTATGGAATTCGATTGATTTTAATTAAAATATTACAACAATTGAATATTGAATATTGCAGGTGTAAATTATAACGTTTATTTAGTAGTCCACCAGATGTTAGAACAGAGATGGCAAATCCATGGCACGCGAAAATTTTACTATTATATATTATATAATATATAATATTATAGGACCTATAATATAATATAATATAAATAATTAACAAAGCAATATTATTATACTAATACATTAATTATACAATCAAATTATAATATAATAAAATATAATATTTTTAATATTTTTTTCATGGCATGCTCTATATATATATATAAGGTAATTTTGGGCACACAGTGTTCAAAAGGTTTGCCATTCCTGTGCTAGAACCTACCAAGGCTATATTGTTGAAAATGGGCATTGATAGGTGCACGTTTTATTTATTTTGTATTGCAGCTATGGATACGGAATAAATCCGGGCAGTGAAAATACGGTTAAATCACGTTGACGTTGGTGATTTAATAATACTATATTTTCTTGCGGCAATCGTTATTATTTTGTTTGAAAATATAGCTAACTATTCAATACGCATGTTATAATGTTTTATTGAGGCTACTGTATCACGTATTATGTTTTACCTTCATTACTTGTATTAGTTTCACGATATGGTCTTATTGTGATGAAAACTGTTACCATAGAACGATCTATTGTTGCGTGCCGGTATATAGGTACCAGATAGTGCAATGAGAGATGAGCACACTCAAATTTACAGCTTCGTAATCAATGTAGAATAATGATAGTATTTAAATAAATAACTCAAGACTTTTAAAATATTAACTTCACTGAAATATTTCGAAGTCCAATTTATTTAATTTGTAAAATTATTCTAAGTCCAAATAATTAATTTATAAAATAAACTGGCGTGAAGATGCATGTATTAACAAGACTAAAACACATCTCTAATAGGGCCTGTTCGGGACCCCCTTATATATTCGATGGACGCAAGTTTGTGTGTGCTATTTGCCGTCCAGCCCATAATTAATTACGCAAGGATGTGGTCACTATTGTTTTGATTGTCTATTTCTTATTTTAGATTTCCTGTAAATGACTATGTGAACTACTTATGATTCCATAGGTAACCATAATATTTAACTTATCCTTGGGTGTGGTTTTGATATTCATAGGAACTCATTTATTATATCATTGTTATTATCTATCTACGCCATAATTGTATTATTCTCATGCAAATCGTTATAGCATTTATATATATATCTGTAACATTATGTGATAGAATGTATGTCTATGACATTATGATATGTACGCCCATAATATTATTATATGTATGCCCATGACACTATATAAATTAATGTGTTGAACACGAAAAGTTCAATTTGATTAATTTATTAAAAACTAATTTTTCTATTACTTCTAGCGGACCTTTAATATGTGTTATTTTATATCGCAATTGTTAAGTGTCTACAGAAAAGTACTAATGATACTGCAACAACTCCAAAAAAAATATACAGTAGGGTAAAGTAAGGTATTTCCATGGCATAAACATCAAATAAACATATAAACATTAACAATATGTTATTTGTTGAATGTATAATGTAATTCCCTATTACATTATTGACTTGAAAATTGCATTGGTCCTTAGTCCTGTTATTTTAAGTCAATAATTACATTATACGTTCAACAAATAATATCACGAAATTACTATACCTTGAAAATACTTTATTTCGCCTTACTTACATTTCACATTTTCTCATAAATATTGTTTTTTCTAACTTAAATTTACGCACTATGATAAAGATTTTCACAATATTTATTAATTTTTAAAAATTAATTTATTATTAAAACATAGGAGTAGGTACTATACTTAATTGTAAAATTGAGATGCGCTTCAGTAAAATTGAATATAACAATTCAGCTTTCATTCATTGTTTATTTAAAAAAATGCATATAACAATTATATTGACATATAATATTGAACTGAATATTTTTTATTTCACTGTTATTTGCTATAAATTAAATAAAAAGATAAATTTAAGTGTAAAAACTCATATTTGTAATTTTATTCATCAAAGCTAAACTTTCCAAAATTAATCATTCGTTTGAAATGTCAATTTACGTTTATTTTGAAAAATATATAAATTATATAGAAATTTAGAGCTAATTTTTAACCAATTTGTAATACAATTATAATTATTTTTTTTGCCGTAATACGTTTTTAAGTTTTTTAGAAAGTTAAAATATAATTATGATTTTATATGTTCTAAAAGAAAATATTATTTTATAAAATTATATTAGGAAAAAAGAATATTAAACCTTCAACCAATAGTTTAAACAACAACACTAAAAGCTTACAAATAAAAATATTTAAATAAATTAATTAAAAAAAAAAAAAAAATACTTTTTCAAAAAAATGTGTTATAATTGTACACCATTGTACACCATTGTACAATGCCATGGTTATAATCGTCTGGTGGATAATTATGAAATAAATGTAGTAAAAGCATTATGTGCAATTAAAGAACAGAATAAAAATTGTGTATTCAAGCTACTTGAATTTTTGCAAAATGGATTTCAGTAATAGACGATAATAGTAATTACGTGTTTTATTTAATACATATTTCAATTAATAATAAATTAATCATACCTCAATTACGTGTAAAATCAACATTTGCGGGGAGTCTACGTTAAAAAAATATACAAAAAATAATATTAATATCAGAATAAAAGCGTAGATTTTATGTTACTACTTATCTAACAATTTTTAATTTAATTTATTCGA